ATTGCAATACTGAACCGTTATTTGCTTAATAGACATATTTTGTCGCCTGTATTTTATGTTCTGATAACGAATGGGAAAAAACTGTCTGTTCCTCGATTAAACCACTTCATACCAGTCATCTCACGATGACCATGGGATACTGATATTACAGTTGTCTCTAGCTGGAGACTCAATCGAGTTACAAAAAATGACATCAGGAAACGACACTGGCCATTTCTTTGGGTCGTTTGTAAAGTCACAGATACTGTACGGACAATACAGCTCAGTTTTTTATGTATCTTGCTCTGTTAAATGGAAAAAGTGACTTTACGTAGGTCATACTGGATTAACACCATGCATCTCCTGTCAGCGGGAAAGCCACGCCCCCAGCTATGACATGACCCCGACCAAGTCCATGGTTGACACCCTCTCATTAGCATGTTGTGCAGAGGAAAAATAAACGTGGAACTACATTCAGAAATAAATGAGTGATCAAAAGAAAATAAATAGGATGAGTTTAGCATTTCCTTAAACATTTTCCATTTGCCCACCAATTTATTTTATTTATTTGCCTACTTTAATCACATGTTTAATTATTTCTATATGTGTTTAAACAAGAATTTGTGTATTTATACAGACATTTATTTATTTGCATATTAATTAATTTATTTATTTGTGTATTTATTTATTTATTGTTTTTGCAGGTTTCGTCCTCCATATACTGCATCCACTAGTAAAAAAATAAAAAATTAAAATGTTTGGTTTTACTGTATATGTTTAAACAGGTTTCTAGAGTTTTTCTTTGCTGCTGCATCCTTTAGCTTGCATACTGGTGTTTGGCTTTTTATTTTCTGTAAAGCTGCTTTAGAACGATAAATTTAAGTTTCATGTAAATTAATTTTAAATGTATTAAAATAGCTCTTTATAATAATTTGAAAAAAGACACCGTTTACTCAAAAAATTGTCAATATATTTTTCAGTTAATACTTTAATAATAAACTGGAATATTGTCTGTTGTTGTGTTAAAAGCTTTGCGGGAAGAGAGATGCTGGAACCTTGCTCAGATGGAGGTTATTTGATTGGACTCACAGCCTGAGGCAGTCCTGTTTCTCCTATAAGCGCTTTGTGAAAGCTTGTGTACTGATCTCTTTTTTTCTTCCCAACAGACTGCAGATGTAAATTGATGGGCTTCTGTAGAGAACAAATGCTGTTGTCGTTCACGCCGCTCTCGGTAAATAACATGCGTTCTTAGAAAAGAAACGCGGAATGCAGTGTATTCACATGTGGTTGTCTGCTTGTGTGTCTACATGTGCCCTCCGATTCCTGCCGCTATCAAAGTGCTGAAAGAGACATCAGACAGCATTGTATCTCGCAGCAGACAGCGATACATGTTGCCAGGTAACCACACCTGACATTGAACTGAAGGTACGCTACCATAAAACCTCCTTTAATTAACTCTACCCAGGAGACGGGCTTTTATTGTAAAAGTGCGATCACCTTTTTTGGCAAAATTCTGTGGGCGAAAGAAGCTCAATTGTCAGTAGTGTAGCATTACATGAATCACCTCTCACAAAGAAGTGACTTTTAAACCAGGCAACTTTCTGCTGGTCGACATGATGAATTTGCGCGACCAACTTTAACACAAGCAACTTTTTTGCGCAGATTCCTGTTGACAAGACTTCGCCCCCCAAATTTCACCGAACAATGGTAAATGTGACTACACCTTAAGAGTATCATAACCATATGTGCTTTGTACTTTGGTGTGAGCATTTTATATAAATTCTGACCTTCATGTCATTCCAAACCTGTTCTTTCATATTCTTCCGTGGAATACAAAAGAGATATTTAGCAGAATGTTGAGGCTGCTCTTCATTAATGCAAAACTTCAACTAGTATGGCTTATAACAAGTTGGTCACATGACATGCAAAAACTATTGACATTAATGCTGCCTTCACGTGTCATTGAAAATTTCCTACTTTCCATTTCTGAAGTCATAATTAAGAGTTTGTCATATTCAGTTGCTTTGTTAATGAATCATGGAGGGTGCTTGCTTGCTCTACTATATACTTTAATCGCAGTAAATAGACAGCTTGCTGACAATTTTGGAATTTAATTCACGTACATGCTATTTTTGCTGTATATTAAACATACAATATGCATCAAATGATTATTTATATATGTAAATGTGCAAGACGTTCACAACATGACAAGGCAATGTTGCTGATGTTTATGGCCTTTAGTTGGGAACAGGGGTATCAAGAGTTTCTAGTTGTAAATACAACTTTAGAGGCCCTTTATGTCCAAATGCACCAGGTTTGATTGTGCATGAGCATGCATGAGAATCAACTATAGACAAAATTACTAATATGACTTCAGAATACTCAGAATATAATGCACTGCTTTTATGGTCTTTTTTATGGTGCTTTGTCCTGTTTCACAGAAGTTCTTTCATTGGGTGAAACTTAGCTTGAGTAGGCTGGAGCATGCAACTTAAGAGTTTGATTGATCATTGTTTTTATTTGTGGTACTGTAGGGTTGAATTATGGGATGTGCATTGGGAGTGTAGTACCACATGGTGGCAGTGCTAATCCAAATTATTTTCTGTCACATTTCTGCTTTATGCTTTAAGCTATTCAGGAACTTACTGGCCTGGCCTGAATTCGGTTAACCTACTCCCTTAAATTGAACAGAAACCACTTCAGCACATAGACTTCATTTAGACCAGGGCTGTCCAAACTAGGTCCTGGAGGGCCGGTGTCCTGCAGAGTTTAGCTCCAATTAAACACACCTGAACCAGTTAATCAAGCTCTTACTAGGCATAGAAACTTCCGGTCAGGTGTGTTGAGGCAAGTTGGAGCTAAACTCTGCAGGACACCGGCCCTCCAGGGCCGAGTTTGGACAGCCCTGATTTAGAACTTATTGCAGGAAATACTGTCCAACTTACAGTAATTTCAATCAGTTGATACCTTTTATGTTAAAGTGGAAAGGGCATCTTTAATTTCCCTTAAATTTAATTTCTTTACTGTACTTGTCAGAGATTTATTCTGGTATTATTGAGCGTGTGTGTCTGAACATCTCAGCGTTCAGGCACCATTCTGTTTGGCCTCTTAAAGGACACTGCTGCATTACTTTTTCTTGTAGCTGCTTTTGACTTTTTTGACCTCCTTTTAATAGTGTGTGTGTGTGTGTGTGTGTGTGTGACAGGGGCTGTTACAGACTAATTAATCTCCTGTTGCCCTTGCCATATCAGCAGTTCACAAATTAACCAGAGTAAATAGTCCTTTTTCTACCTCCATGTGTCCCCACAGAGGACAATCGAGAGAGAGAGAGAGAGAAAGAAAGAGTATGAGTAAGTCAAAATGGTGAGGATGTATATAAAGTTTTAATTGATTAATTCTGGGGACAAGTATGTTCATTTAAAGGTCCTAAAAATGGCATGAAAACAATATCTTCAGTGTGTATTTTTCTGTTAACCAGTCACAGACAGTTTGCTTGTTTTCACCTTTCCACCCTCAAATATTATAAAATTGTTATTATTAGCCTATTAATAATAAAAATAATGTATTAAAATATATTTTAAAATAATTTTTTGTATGTATACTGATCATATCACATAAATCCTAAGTAATACCCAGCGATAAATCGGGCTCTCTGAAGTGATGTCCTTTTAGAAATGAATGGTCACCTTTAGCATTAGCTGTAGAAGAAAGCTCTAATGGCTCTTGTCTCAGACAGTCCGACCCCATGACACGACATATCAAAGTGATTATAAAATGTCCTGTGCCACAGACACTAGACGCCGTCCGCCTCTTAGATCAGGACACTAACGGCTACCCAACCTAAAATAATCTCTTTTATTGAATTGACTTTGGATGTCCCCTTGTGTCACTTTTGTTTGTTTTTGACTTATTTTAAGGCTCTGACTTGGGGCTAGCTCATCTGGCACAGGGAATTGGGTAGTCCTATGTATTTTACAAGTTTTGGAGAAATTTATGTAACATTACATCGCTTGTTCACCAATGGATCCTCTGCAGTGAATGGGTGCCGTCAGAATGAGAGTCCAAACAGCTGATAAAAACATCACAATAATCCACACAACTCCAGTCCATCAATTAATGTCTTGTGAAGCGAAAAGCTGAGTGTCTGTAAGTAACAAAGCCATCATTTAGATATTTTTAATAGTCCATAATATTGCTTTCCCCAGTGTATAAGCCATCTTGTCTGAATCAGGAGAGAAATATGCACAGATCAAGCACTGAAAACAGTTCTAAACAATTATACAAGCAGCATGCAGAATATATTAATGTTTCCGTTTGAACAAACTGTTGAATATGACCACAAAAAAATTCGCAATCATAATCAATCACTTGAAGCGTATTTTATACTTATAGTAACTTCAATAAACCTCTTGTTTTGAATGTCTGAATTAGACGCGTTGAAGTAATTTTTATTTGTGTGTGTGTGTGTGAACAAAAATGTCAGTGTGTGTAACTGTCCTGTGCTTCTAATGGAGGATTTTTTTTATTACACATGCTCATACACTAATTGTTAAAAGTAAATAATTACCAAAAAATAAAAAAATTGATAAGCTAATTCCAACACACTCTCTTGACAACTCTTAATTCATACAACAACATGGTGAAATTGTATGATATTGTGCAACCAGGATTGTACAAAATGGTATGGTTTTATTATTAATCATGGTTAGATTTGTAAAGATTTTTACGACTTCTCATAAGGTTGGGTTACATTTTAAATTAGTCTTCGAATTCTTTTCATTCGTTTTCATTTGGACATCCATGTTAGTTGCTGACCCGTGTGTGTGTGTGTGTGTCTCAAAGTAAGGAAATCATTTGAAAGACAAGCACCTGCTCATAGCTGTGGATCCTCAGTCTCAGGTAGTGAAAGGGAGGGAAGAAAGGAGGGATGGGAAGCAGAGAAGGAGGGACACAATCTCACACACTGAGAAAGAGGCACAAAACAAGTACCCTCTGTCATAGAGAGACAGAGACGGAGAGACCGTTAGAGTAGGAGGTTAAGAGGGAAAATAGAAGAATGTCTCGCAGGAAGAGGAGCTTCACTTTTGGAGCATATGGGGGGTAAGACACACTACTGGGGATTTGTGAGGACAGATGACGGTGGCTTTGAATTCTCATGTTATATGTTGTTGTAGTTAATGTTAACTGATTACTCTGGTTTTTGGATGCAAAATACCTTTTGTAGGATGCAGATGTTATTATTTTTTCTTATGCATTAGATGTTTCATAGGTAATTTACCAAACACTTGATTCACATATTTAGTGGTATCATCGAACTTGAGGTCTTGTAAACCACATCCATACCACGACACTGCTGAATGCTTGATTCTGATTGATTGGTGGTTTGAAGGTGTTGATTAATTTACTGCATGGTTATGAAGTAGTTCCAGGTTTGTTGACCAAATTAGTTAAATATTACTTCACCATGTACTTTTCAACTAGTAAAAATGGTTTTGTGAGGTAAGTAGTTATTTTCAAACTTTTCAGAACTACTTGTAGATGTGAACCTGGTCTGTTAAAAATTATAGAAAATTACTTATGTTTTAGCATATATATATATATAATTGAAACTGGTCTGGTTACACATACTGTATATTTAAACTATGTATAATAGTTTAAATATACGTGTCATTTTAGTATCAATGCAGGAGTTTTGTACAAAGTGTGTATAGTACAACTGGCAGACAAACTAATTTAATAACTGGATTATTTTATTTTAAAGTTTCTTTTACTCTCAAAAATAACATCACATGTCTGTTGTCTATGAATGTGTTACACTTGCACATTTTGTGATTTGACTCTGTTATGCCTGCTTGGTTAAAACGGTTCAGTTGAACTGCTGACGGTTTGATGATTGTAAGCTGATGTCAGAGTTCGCTCAGATGTGTTTCTCTGACAAAAAGGGCCAATGGAAACATGAGTCGTGTAGTAATTTGTGACATTCATCTTGTCCCTATTTCCTGAAACGTTCTATGTAAAGTTTTAAGCACTTTTGAGTTGAAATGACAGATTATTGAAATAGAGCCACCATAATGTCATTGTGTATTGTGATACATCTGTTGCTCTTTGGCTTTTTACCCACATTGTCAGGTCTAACAGGTTTGTTGCGTTTGAAACTGGTTCTGTTTGATCCAGCGTGTTTACTGACACATGCTCATACAAATGCACACTGATCCTGATCACTCGTGTTGTGGTTTATAGGCCTTGTTTGTACATTCAGCGGCTGGGCTCCAATATTTACTGATTAACTTATGTGGTATTCACAATGCATTTGTGTAGACTGAGTGGTTTATTTATGTCAAATACAGTTTGATTTTATTTTTTAATAAAAAAAATTTCATATGATAAAAAATTGCATAGGACAAATATTCCAAGCTTTTTGCACGTATGGTATAATACAATTTGACCAAATATCATTTTGTAATTAATTGTTGCATTTTCTGAAGAAAATGTCAGGGGTGTATATCTGTATAAATACTGTTTAATGATATTTCACCCAAAAATGAAAAGTTGTTGAAAATTTACCCTCAGGCCACCCAAGATGTAGATTTTGTTTATTTATTTATTTATTTTTTATAAATCTGAACAGATTTAGAGTAATTTTGCTTTAAATGATGGATTTGTTTCTTGCAAACACATAGCTTTTCAGTTCACAGTGTATTATTTGATGGACTGGAGTGGTGTGGATTATTGTGATGTTTTATCAACTGTTTGGACTCTTGTTCTGATGGCACCCATTCACTGCAGAGGATCCATTGATGAGCAAGTAATATAATGCTACATTTCTGATGAGGAAACAAACTTATCACCATACTTGGCCACATGTCACTTTTCACTTTCACTCACTTTTCATAAGGGCTTATGGTGTCAGTATACATTCAAAATGCATGTGTTTTTAAAAATACCATGTTTCTTTTCTCCACAGAGTGGACAAAACCTTCTCCAGGTCAAGACATATTTGGTAAGTCCTTCTCTTTCTTGAAAGTAGTTAGTATTAAAAGTAGGGCTGCACGATTAATCGAATGCGATTGTCATGCGCATTTTGTTAGTAAAGCCGGTTCTGTAATCAGCAGGAAATCATCATCACGTGCTTTCAGATGGAGCAGAATTTACTACACATAGCCGTAGTTCACTGACAAGTTACGCAAAAAAACGCAGACGATTTTATTGCGCGATTATGAAATTGAAGAAATTGTTCGCGATAATGACAGCTGTTTGCATAGCTTCTCAGTGAACTACGGCTCTGTGAAGTAAATGCTGCTCCATCTGAAAGCATGTGAAAATACCACATTTAATAACCTATTTTTACTCCAAACTCACTTCATAACGTCAGTCGAGTGTTTGAAATAAATCCTTCTGTGAGATGATGGGGCTTCTTACACAGAATAAGGCATGCAACATTTCATAGTTTTTAAGCAGTGATAAAGGCATTGCATTATAAATATACTTTATTTGAATGAAAATGATAATAATTAGAACTCGGCCTTTGGATGGAGATTTACTGCTGATCACAGAACCGTGCTTCACTGAAAGATATGCATGACAATCGCAGCTTCTGTCGAATCTCGATTCCATTTCGATTTATCGTGCAGCCCTAATTAAAAGTGTAAGTAAATGTTAGCAATCAATTTTTAAATAATTCAATCAATGTATGCATTAATTACACTAACGTTTCCTAAAAATTTTTTTTTTGAAAACTGAAAATATTATCTTGGTACAGACACAAAGGGGAAATAATAACTGTCTTTCCAAATGAAAGGTCAGAATTTAAGTAAGATTTTCCAACTTTTCCACGTAGGAAGTAGGGAATGTGTGCTTTCCAAGTTAAATGTAATGTAGCACACACAATTGATGGTCAAATAAAAGTCTTAATCAGCTATTTTTGTTGTTGTTGTTTTTTCTCTAAGCATCCTTGTGTAAATTGATAAATGTACTTCAGAAGCAAAATTGAATGTTGAAGATGCTTATTTTCAGAGAATATTTATTGAATTTTTTTAATTGAATTGCCTTATATGTAAATGTATGTTGTTTTAAGGTTATTTGGATGTTTTGGGGTTTTTTGGAAAAGAAAGAACTCTGAAAAAAATATAGTTAAAATTTTAAAATATATAATTACATTTATATTAAAAAATATACAATATTTGTATTCATATTTTTTCCAAGTGTAGTGTATCACACATTGCTTTTGTGTGTCATAATTTTTTCCGCCAAACTTTGTACACATGATTGGACACAAGGCACAAAGTTTGTCATCACATTCCATAACTGTAAAGGTCACCTCAACTACTGTATGATTTGTGTGAGCAGTTGAAAAGGTCAGGTTGGATCCAGTTACCTCACAAATACGAGCAAACTCTCTGATATCTTTCACATCAGCCACTCCCACCCAATACTGCTGGTGGAAAGTTTTACGCCTGCTTGACTGACAGCGTTATTACTACAGAGGGAGCTGGTTATGTGTAAAGCTGGTTTATAATGGCTGTGAAGAGGATGTGTCTGGAGAGAAGAGGGAACGTAAAGGGAGAGGGCGAATGCCGGAATGTAATTATGGCGGGACCTGGGTTTCACTCCGCGTGTATCATCCCAGATGAGCGCTGTAGTGCATGCTAATGCGAAGAGAGACCCAAGAGAAACAGCACACATGAAAACTAGCTATCTATATACTGTTCTTTTCCCCCTTGCTTTCTTAGTTGTTTTCTGTTTTCCTCCTTTATATCCCCCACGCTGTCTTTTACGCTTTTCGCTTTCACATACTCGGAGAGCAAGTGTTTCAACAGCTTGCTTTAGTTGAATAAAACATGAAGCAAACACATTAAGTACCCTCGTCCTGAGGTTTGTTGTCAGAAAAACATCTGAATTTTGTTGTACATGTATTGGAAGAAACAAAAGACATTCTTTGAATATGAAAACACTGAATATGTATCTGTTTGCACCATAAGTTGTTGTTTTCATAGCATTAACAATCCCCTGCCCTTAAGTATTAAACTTTGGGGTGTAACTCGTCCTGCTACATAATCTACATAAATGATACCTCACGTTAAAGGGATACCTCACATTAAAATTAAAATTCTGTCATCGTTTAAACTTTACTGACCCTCAAATTTTTCTAAACCTGTATGAATTTATTTCAGGTGTTGACAACAAAAAGACGATATTTTGAAACAGTTGACTTCCGTAGTATGGAAAAAAAAAAAGCTATGGAAGTCAATGGCTACCATCACAATTTGGTTACCAACATTCTTCTTCTTTTTGTTGTTTGGAACAATTGAAGGGTGACTAAATGATGAGAACATTTTCCTTTTTTAGGTGAACTATCGTTTAAATGGCTGTAAAATGTTGATTTTTTTTTCTTTTTCCAATGGATCATACAGTAGTTTATTTACATTTTTTTGTTGTATTTTATTTTGTAGGCTTTATTTTATTTTCTAATTTAAAATACAGTATTTACTAAACATTTACTACATTTGAGAACTAAAAAGATTTATATAGTATGTTTCATATTTATATCAAATATTAAAATAAATAATATTTAATATTACATATTTATTATTAAAAACATGTATTTATTATCTCTTGATGAATCTGTTGATTATGTAAATAGTTCTGTTAATTGGTTAAGCAGGCACAGTTATTGGTCAGTTCGAAAATCTTACTTGATCAAATGTCACCTGATTTATTTGCCTTTTCTTTGGAAATATAAAAATGTAACACTTTATTTGCAAAAAAAAAAAAAAAAAAAACGTTTTGGAAACATTCTTTTTAAAAGCAGTGCTTACAGTAATGAATTGGCTGTAAAAACAGGTTAAAGCGCATTTGTAACTTTAATCATTAGCCTTTTCAAGTGCTCTTTTGTCGTGCATGTTTGGAATTTCACTGCAAAAAAGTCACTTTGCGTCCGAACACTTCCTCTCATATACGCCCACTGCTGCTATCAGAGCCTGTGCTGTTTGGAGACACAATGCTTTTATGATTAGACCTATTCAGATCAGTATTACGCATCAGCCTGGTATTCTCTTCTGTATGGCATGAATGTCTCTGCTGTTACAGTTGCTGAGAAGTGGCCCGTGTGGGCTTTCTAAGCTGGTCTTCATCTTGCAGGCTTGAGAAAATTAAGACAGCTCTCAGATTTATAAGAAACAGCCTGTAAAAGGGCGCATGGAGGTGATAGTAAAAGCTGTGCGCTGGATGGGGCGTCTCTGCGTCCTTTCTCATGGGACGAGCATGTGCTTGGGATAAAAACAGCCAGGGACAACAGGGACGCTTTTAAGTGATGCACTCAGGAAGGACAATATTAATAATATGGTGCTTTGATTTGTACCATAGTGCTGAATGATTACCATGTTTATATGCCATAGTATTTATGTAGTACACCAAGGTGCCATGGATCATGTACCATACATATCCAAAAATCCTTGATATTATCGTTGTACGCATTAGATTTATACATCATCTGAAAGCTGAATAAATATGCTTTCCATTGATGTATGGTTTGTTAGGATAGGACAATATTTAAAATAAAAATATTAATATTTTTAAAAATATATATTTAAAAAAAATCAAGATATTGAGAAAATCACCTTTAAATTTGTCTAAATTAAGTCCAAAGCAATGCATATTACTATAAAAAAATGAAGTATTGATATATTTACTGTTGAAATATCTTCATGGAACATGATCTTTACTTAATATCCTAATGATTTTTGCCCTAAAATAAAAATAGATAATTTTGACCCATACAATGTATTGTTAGCTATTGTTACAAATATACCTGTGCGACTTATGACTTGTTTTGTGATCCAGGCTCACATTTGGTTCTTTGAATATAAAAACACAACATTTGTATTTATTTTTTTTAATCTAGGCCTATTTGCGGTTTAAGTTGTTGTTTTAATCGTATTTAATCTAATATTTAAGTATTTTAAAGGGGGTCATATGATGCTGCTAAAAAGAACATTATTTTGTGTATTTGGTGTAACGAAATGTTTATGTGGTTTAAGGTTAAAAAAACACATTATTTTCCACGTACTGTACATTATTGTTTCTCCTCTATGCCCCGCCTTTCTGAAACGTGTCGATTTTTACAAAGCTCATCGGTCTGAAAAAGTGAGGTATGCTGTGATTGGCCAGCTATCCAGTGCGTTGTGATTGGCCGAATTTCTCAAGCGTGTGACGGAAATGTTATGTCCCTTACCATACTGTGATGCCTGCGGCAACCACATGTGACGACCCCGGGCTGGACTCCGCTTCGTCCACGGTGAAAGCCGATCCGGCGATCCACAGCGTGAAGTTGAAGTATTTTCTCAGCAACCAGCACGGATCAGCTCCAGGCATGACGAAGCGATATCGTCCTCTTTTGGAAGACCAAACAAAGTAGTTTCGCTTTCACAACGAAGCACACAGTGCCTTCACAACATGTCAGCGGCGGCAGCAACAATACTACAGCGAGAATAAAAGTTACGCCTTCCTTCTTTGCGTGAACATTTGGGCGGCGTTATGCAAATCTTCCCAGACAGTGACGTAGGTATGTGGGTGCGTGTTAGAACGAGCCGTTTTAGGTAGGCGTGGTTGACTCTTAACTTTTATAAAGAATATCTCTTTGGATTTGAACTTTACAGATCTTCTTTATGCACCAAGAGCTTGTAACACTCCAAAGAGAAAGGAAAAATTGAAATCGCATGATATGACCCCTTTAAGTATTAAACTTTGGATTGAGCTTGATCACTAATGATAATGCCATTTTGATCCATTTTGCAATAAATAATTGTTGAATTAGTTTTATGGTAGAATATGGGACAGCAGTGCTTTGTTTTCTTGTTTGTTTTTGGACTGTAGTTCACCCAGATTCTGTGAGGACACTGGTCTAATGAGGACAGCAGTGGTCTTTGGGGGACGTTAGTAAGCAATGCCTCACAGCGGCGTCATTTAAGTCATCTAAGTTGACAGGATAAGTAAACCCCCAGA